AACTACTCATTTGATGCAGGGAGATTTCGTAACAACGATGAGTGATCTCTGTAATTTTGAGCAATGCCCTGACAGTACGGACGTAACGGTGGGAGATATTTCTCCACGTCCTCATGGTCGGATCAAGGGTGTGGCTGCAGAAAGAGGAAAGTTTGAATGAGTACGCATGGGTATATTATTATATATATATATAACAGTTTGGTCTGATTAGAGAGAGTGTATAGCAGAATGGATCCAGAGCTCAAAGATGGATAAAAAGAAGGGAAGCATAAAAAGAATGTTGTAGAAGAAAAGACAGGGTGTTTGTCTGTCCATAAATTATCTGTTGTGTCCCTGAATCATGAAACTCTTTATTGTATATATGAATTGACCGTTGTTGCAGAAAGAACTTAGATCTGTTTGTGTCCCAGCTAGTGATCGGTGTTGTCTAGGTCAAGGTCACTGATGAATGGCGCGTTTGTTCAGCAGTGATGAGGGGTTTCTATTTTGATTCTTGGTGAGGTTGCTAAGAAAGTGCATGCAATGTTTGAATGAAACACATTATGAATGCATATAATTGTGCGTGTATTTGAATTTGTGCGTGTCGGTCTTTGTATGTTTGAATATTTCCTTGTGGTTACCTGTGTATGAATTCCATTCTCTTTTGGTTTTTGCATGAATAAATTCAACAGATTGAATAGAAAATGTGTTACAGACTTTAAGACTGATTTTTCTAGTCGGTGTACAAACCTGTTCCTTTTGTGTCCTGACAGCCAACTAATGAGGTAAAATAAGTTCAGTACATGTAGATCTGCTACTGCTGGGTAACAACTGAAGCACTTGTTGAGATGGTCTTCTCCAATAAAGATTGAATCTGAAAATCTCGCAAGGCATGTGCTCACATTCAGGATCCTACTTTGTGTTGGAAAATTGTTTACTTTACTTTGCTTTTCTCCGTGGCTTATATACCCTTTTTGGGTGTCACGGTTGAAAATTGCGAAATTCAAAATTGTAAAAATTCCTTACCATGAAAAAAGAATGGCTTCTATGACACATGTAAACATGTACATTGACATTACGCTCGACTACGGAGAAACGGATGTCAGCAGGGGACGGACAAATTAGATGAACTCTTCTGAAGAAGTTCAGCTGAACCTTTGGGACCTACTGTACAGAAATAAAAGATAAAGAGAGGTGCTGGGACCAGAAAAAAAGATCAACATAACACCGAAGATGAACTCAAGCGAGTTCAACCCAAGCGGAGTCAACTGTGCTGTACATGACCAATGTATAGAATTATCATTACACATGGATATTATATCAGAAATTACTTTTTCTAAAATGTCCAACTCTTTGACATTGCAACTGTCTCTCCATTCAAGCATAGATCTAGGGAAGGAAGGCAAGCCCTGTGCCAGGACATAAGCCATCGTTTCTCCTTGTGTTGTCCCCTGCATACTGGCAAGGGGCTCTCTCTCTCTCTCTCTCTCTCTCTCTCTCTCTCTCTCTCTCTCTCTCTCTCTCTCTCTCTCTCTCTCTCTCTCTCTCTCTCTCTCTCTCTCTCTCTCTCTCTCTCTCATAGGCGCGGGGCACTCCACACATTTTCAGTAGGTAGGAAATTTTTTATATTTATGTCCGGGTGGCGGCCGAAGCCTACTCTATAAATCTATTTTGGACCACATGGCGATCTTTAACGTGCGCATCGTGCACACGGGACCTCCACAATTTTCATACTTGTTTGAGAAGGCTAGTGTAGATCTTTCCCACCACAAGATCACGGGTGTTGCTGAAAGACAGCAATAAGAAGTAGCCGAGGAGTAGCAGTAGAAAAAAAAGCTGCAGAAAGAGTCAGGAGCCCAGAGGGGGGGGGGGGGCAAAGGAGGTGAGGGGGTGGGGGTAGAAAATGGAGACGAAAACAGACGACAGAACATTGTTAGAAAAGGATATCGAAAGAACATTAATATTTAGAGAAGAACATTTTCCGTCGCTATCCGGATTCGAACCCGGGACCTTTTTTTCTGTCTGTGTGCCGTGGTGACCATAATATGTCTACAAACCGGTATACCACAAGTAATGAAATTCATAGAGCGACAAAGAGTCAAATGGTTTGCACATCTAACCAGAATGGCCCAGAAACAACAAGCGGCTAGAGCTTACACTTACTACACCCGAGAATCCGGCTTCAAATCAAGAGGAAGACCAAGAAAGACCTGGCTGGATGGGGTTAAAAAGGTCCTGGAACAACACAACATATCTATCACAGACGCTACACACCTAGCACAGGACCGAAACCTGCACCTTCCCTCGACACCCTAAGGATTGCAGAAGGAGGAAAAAGTAAAAGTAAGTATAATAAACAAGTCCTGTAGTGATTAGTAATAATTTAAATTTCACAATAAGTATACCGCCCTGCAGGCAAGCAACGGCTCACATCACAGCTAGAGGGTCTGTGGTCAAACCTCGGTGCTAACGCTACAGTCAATGTTCTCTCACTTCGACGTCTACGTAGCATTACAACATTATAGGCCTACTGCTATATAAAGACTCACGATTGTGTGTGTGTGTGTGTGTGTGTGTGTGTGAGAGAGACAGACAGAGAGAGAGACAGACAGAGAGAGAGACAGACAGACACATACAGAGAGAGAGAGAGAGAGAGAGAGAGAGAGAGAGAGAGCAATTTTTTAAAGTCCACCTAACAGCAGCTTAAAGATTTGCTTCTCAAGAGTGTTATGTAATTGTTGTTATAAATCCCAACGCTTCAGTAATATTTTCCCTTGACGGACGATGATGCCCAAACATAAGTTGTACTAGTTGTAGAAAAAAACAACAACGATAGCACCCCCCCCCCCTTTTTTTTGTGGATTTACTGTTACTAAAGTCTTACAGATAATAATTAATGATTATAGGCTAACAATAACAACAATGTATTATAATTATATTATTTTATTTTGTTAGGCCTGTATGTTATGTTATATGGTATGTTATGTTAAGAGTTTTACGGCACTTGTTTAACACAATAAGGTCGTATAAGTGCCAAAGATTAGAGGTGTTACAAGAGAGTAACAAACACACTCTAAAAAAGAAGTACATCTAAGTGAGAAAAGGATGAATGTTTGATAGGAATAAAGAAGGAGCAGACCACACCAGAGCACCCGCCAACCCTGACCTTATGTTATGTTATATTATGTTGTAAAGCATTACATTGTATGATATAATATTTTATTGCAATATATATATATTAGATTATATCATATCATAGTATAATTGTTATATTTTATTATATTATATTTGAGCGTGGTTTTCGCTTTCATAAAACAAACGCATTTATGTCTTTAGCAAAATATTATGATTGTTTCCTTTTCGGGTTGAGGCTAGCACTTTTTAATATTTTACCCTCTATATCCCACCAACCAAAGGCGCCGACTCAACTACTTTTCATGACGCATCCATTGATTGGTTTAGGTGCGGTTTTTTACGCCATGGATAGGTAGATCTACACATTGTGACGTCACAGTCTCTACTACACACAGCTGACACACTTTGACGAAGGAAAAGCTATAAGTAGGCCTAACAGCGGTCGGGGTTTCCTGCATTCTACACACACATGTGTCCAGTAAGTCAGTACACAGGTCGAATCGTTTGTCAGTTGAAAGACACCTTGTTGCTTTTTAAATGGTTTTGTTAAGTTATTTTGTTTTAAACTGGTCTGTTTTTCTTTTGCTTTCAGGATCGAAATACAAGGGCAAGTTTGTGTTGGTGCGCCATATTTCGCTAACTTGCTCCTTGGGAAGCCTTGAATTGTGACGCAAAGGTCGAACTTGTGTCCGCGACTACGACCGGTAACGGAGGGAAATAAATGTCAGTCGCTGTGAAGAGTGAATTATTTCGAAACCACGGAGCCTGGATATAGCTGAGCCTACTTGTATTCCACAGTATGTACATGTATTGAAATCTCTCTCAAGAATCTTTAGTTGATGAACAGATGACAAAATAGTAAAATCCAACAGGTCACCTGCCCTAGGCTAGTATCCTGGGTTTGGTTGGGGGGTGGGGTGGATTTGTCTTGTCTTAGACTCTAGATTCTAGATTATCTAGATCTAGAATATCCATGTTTCCTCTATGTTGACAAAGTATAGATCTACTTTAACTTATAAGCTATTATTACAAGTTAAGCTTTCACAGAATCCATGTCTTTTCTAGAGTAGATAACAACAGTGCGTAGATTTGTCAGTGCAGCAGTCTTGATTGATTGGGAAGTTCTCTGTTCGAGATGTCAGTGTCCGAGGAGGTCTAGATCTAGATTCTAGATCTAGAAGTCTAGATCTCAATCTAGAATCTAGATCAAGACTAGATCTAGATTATAGATATAGATCTAGTACTTTGTGTAACTGTCAAGGAAGGGCCAAGGGACTCGGAAGTCATTCATTATGCAATGCTTCATTTCATTCATTCATTAGCCTAGCCTAGATCTAGATCTACTGTCCTACACTACAACAGTGAACCTTGAGTTGTAGCTGCCAGTTTGTTTGTAAACTGTATGTACTTCAACTTCTCTTCTTGAGCAGTGTAAGTGTAATGCTGTTTTTGTTGATTTAATATTATGGATCAATTTTTTTCAGGAAAACTGGAAACATAGATCTAGAATTTAGATCTAGATCTAGATCTAGATCTAGAATCTAGATCTAGATCTAATCTATTATTTATAGGCCTACTTTTATAAGGAAGCCAACTTATAATGTGCATGGTTCTGGTTGAAATACTCAATGTTTTGTTTAGCCTTCATCAAAGAGCCTAGTATAGATCTATGAACTTTATGAAGTTACTTTAGACTTTAGAACAGGCTATGTAAATTAGTCTAAACTAGATCTTGATAGTAGCTAACATGACTGTACTGTAGGATTTTCGTTCTCATTGTCAACTTTGGGAGTTTCTAAATGTGCGATCAGTTCAAGCAGTGTTTAAAAACACTAATGTTGATAAATAAATAGGCCTAGGGCCAGTGGTTAATTTACTATGATGGAAAGAGTGCAGACAACACATTTTGAAGCCTCTCGACTTACTGGAAGAGTGTCAAAATTACAACTGTTTTTATGTTTTAATAGCCAAAGTCAAAGTATCCATTTGATAATTTCATTATTAATACGACGATTAATATAATTGACTGTATTGAGGTGTTGGCTCTGTGTTGACATTTGTTGCAGGATGCTCTGGGTCCACTGTTATTTTACTCATGGACCCGTGCTCAGATTTTCTAAAACATTCTTCATGTTCTTTTTTATCTGCTTCACGCAAATTTTGACATAAAAGATCCACCACAAATTAGTAGAGTTTATGTTTTTGCATGATGAACTAGATTAGATTATTTTTACAATAAGCCTAGACACTAAAATTTCATTTGTTTTTAACAACTTGTTGTGGGGTCTCAGGAGGACACGCCCCCTTGACATAAAAAAAATCTGGGGGGTTTTTGGTGTGGGGGTGCCCCTCTGTATTTCACCGTAATTAACTCGATATTTTGCGATTAGCTGCAATGTTTTCTTGGAAACCAAATTGATTTGCGAGGATTTTAGTGGCCATATTTTTGTGTTCTGCAGCAAAAAAGTACGGCAGTGTAGCCCCCCCCCCCAAACTACACCACCGTGTGGGTCTGAAAGTAAAAATGTACCATGATATATATGTCAAATGATGAGTCTTCTACTTCAAGTACAGAAACTTTGAGTGACAATTTATTAAAAGTAGCAGTATCTTTGGAAGGAATTCTCAGTAACGAGCAATCACTATGATTATAATAGATAGTATAGTATAGAAGGTTGGGTTGAGACTGTGGTTAGGGTTAGGTCACTTTATATTGTGTTTGTTGGGGTGGTTGGTCGTTACTGAAGTCCTTCTGTATCTTGGCTTAAAGGTTTTTAACCCATGTCTTTCCTTAAGCTTTTAGAAACTCAATAAATTGTAGTTCAGTGTAATTCTTCACGTGTGGAATATGGCACAGGAGTTTTGATCTGGCCGGGCATTCTATTCTAGAGAGATCAGTTCAATGACTAGCGAGAAGTGGGTCTTCCGTTTCTGTTCTCCGGAAATAGATAGGTCTTGATTTCTCCGCTTGTCAGCTGACAAAAAGGAGGTCAAAAGTTTCAGTCTGTCAGCTTGAAGAGGGATCGTGTTATTAGTTTACTGTCGCACCATGACAAAATGACTGTCCTCTGATTATAATGTGATAGAAAAAAGTCATGGCATGAAAGTGAATTTCACAGTAACTGCTCTGTACTTTTGTATGATAAGGAGTCCAGCGTAGTTAGAGGCAGAATGTAAGGATTTTCAAGTACTTATTCTTTCAATCTAATATTGTCATATTTTTTTATACTGTAATGACCATAGTTTTCCTTAGTCGTTGGCCTAGAGTTTTAAAAGTTGTCCCTCTAGACTAGTTGGGCGGTGGTGATGCTAAATGATTGTTGTTTTATCTAAGAGTACAGTAATTTTGACTGACTGACCTCTACCCACTGTTACTTAATGAAATGAATATACCGAATGAGAAATAGCTTAACGTTGATTTATCTTTAAAATGAAATGATGGTGGTAGTGTATTTTTGATATAAATTTGTAATGTTGTAACTCTTTCCTTCTCTTAAAATGGGAGAATGAGTGTGCACATGAGGATGTTGAACAATGTGCAAGTCTGTAACCCTGTAAGAATCCCTCCAAGTTATAATGCTGGGTGCTTGTGTTTGTGGGTGTAGACTGTAGATCTATGTGTCTGCTTGAGATTTGCGAGTTGAGACTGAGACCCATGACTGTGGTGACACTTGGTGAACTTAGAACATTATGTCACCACTTTTGGTAACGCTGACTCTCCTACTATCCAAGAAACTTTCTCAAATCGTGTTTCTTTTCGCCTTCCCAGACAAGGCAGTACGTCAAGTGACGCCAACCACCAGGCCCCGGCATTCCTTCGCTCTTCCATCGCTCCTCACACGACCGCTACCCTCGGCCAACTGAACTCCTCATAGCATCTGAGGTCAACATCAGGTGCCGCACAAGCCCCTCCGAAGCCATACTGGCTTTGACAAACCCCAGCTTCTGCCACAATATCAGACACTTTCACGTAGCAAGGACGTTACGGTTTGACGATGCATCGCATCAAAAACCTGTTGCTACACTCGCACAAGTGCCGCTCTTTCCATGAGCTGTCGGCTTTCTACCGCAGCTATGCCGCGTCGTCTGCGGCTGGGGGGTCGTCTCGTGGCGGGAAGAGCTACGGCACTCAGGCGGCGGCCGAGCCTTTCATGAACGGCAGTTCCTCAGCGTACATTGAGGATATGTTTGAAGCTTGGCAGAGAGATCCCACCAGTGTTCATAAGGTAAAAACTATCAATGTTTGTGAAAGTAAAGTGTGTGATGTCTCTGCAGAGAGATCCCACCAGTGTTCATAAGGTAAAACCTACAATGTTTGTGAAAGTAAAGTGTGTGATGTCTTAGTTTGTGGGGGGTGTTTTTGTTATTGGGGTTTTTTTTTGACCGCATGTTTTTGTTTTGGATGGATGCTGTCACGTGTAATGATGAGGTGCTGGGAACGCCATCATGTCACGGGACACTCACACTGCTTGGTTGGACCTACCTCTGATTTTTTATTTTTTTTTCTCTTTTGCTCCTCTCCTTGTTTTTTTCTTCTGCTTTTAGTATGGTTGGCGGGTGCTCTGGTGTGGTTTGCTCCTTCTTTCCTATCAAACATCTATCGTCCTTATCTCCCCTTCTTCTTTCCTATCAAACATCTATCGTCCTTATCTCCCCTTCTTCTTTCCTGTCAAACATCTATCGTCCTTATCTCCCCTTCTTCTTTCCTGTCAAACATCTATCGTCCTTATCTCCCCTTCTTCTTTCCTATCAAACATCTATCGTCCTTATCTCCCCTTCTTCTTTCCTATCAAACATCTATTGTCCTTATCTCCCCTTCTTCTTTCCTATCAAACATCTATTGTCCTTATCTCCCCTTCTTCTTTTTTAATGTTTGTTACTCTCTTGTAACACCTCTAATCTTCTGGCGCTCATTTGAATGACTTTATGCAGTTGCAAGTGCTGTAAAACTCTTAGACTAAAACTAAAACTCAAGCTTAAGAGCCCAACATCCCGGCTGACGTGTGGTTGTCTCCACCGTCATGACCGTGTCTTGTCATCTGTATCCTGGTGTCTCCTCTACCACATCATGTGACCTCATTGTTCTGTATCACTGTTCCACCATCAGCTTCCTGTTTCACTTTCATGGGCTGGGGGAGGGGGGGAGGGACCAATGTCACTATTCTTCTCCTGACTCTCTGAAGAAAGGTGTTCTAATTATTTGAATACCTGTATAAGTGGGCGGGTGCTCTGGTGTGGTTTGCTTCTTCTTTCCTATCAAACATCTATCGTCCTTATCTCCCCTTCTTCTTTTTTATGTTTGTTACTCTCTTGTAACACCTCTAATCTTCTGGTGCTCATATGACTTTATGCAGTCGCGAGCGCCGTAAAACCTCCACTAAAACTAAAAAAACTATACCTGTATAAATTATGATTTATCCCTTCAAGTATCAGCGGCCGATTAATGGGGCCATAAGTTTTGTTCTGTGGTGCTGTGGCTGATCTATACGTAATGGGTTGTAATTTGAGTCTCTATTTAATTGGTTTGTTTGTCCCGTTATAATAGATCCACATTTTAACACCTTCACAAATGAGCTTTGCTTCCTATGCACATTCTACTTTCTGAAAATGTAGACACAAAATGTGTCAAGTTTTTTATGTCCTTTCCTTGCTTGATGATGGTTTGTGCTCAAGTATTTTCCAACATGATGTGGTGAAATCATTTTCTCTGCCGCCATGGGCGATTGCTGTTTATCAGCGACACTTGGAGGGTTAGTTAAATGTTTGGTTTAATTTCGTCAATTTAAACTGAGTGGATGGGAATATTATGTGCAACACTTACAAACTGACAAGATCTTTCGTTGTCTATAGCCGGATACCCATTCCCACCTGGGTTAATGTTGGGAAAATTCGTGAAGTACCTTTCCCAAGGACGCAACATGGGGCCCCTGACAGGATTCGAACCCAAGCCCAATGGTTGCGAGTTTGAGAATCGAACCACTAGGCCAACTTACACCATAAAATCATGCACTTTGAAACAACAAAAGTTTCAATTTCACCTCTTTTCGTCAAGTTGCCTGCTCTTTGTGTGGAGAAGAAGGGCTTCTCAGGTTGGGGAAGTGTTCTGTACCCAATGTTCTGTCAGCCCAGTAAAGCTGAGTAATTTATCTGGTGTGTATGCCTGACTGACTGATGGCAGTCATCATCATCATTGCTTTTCTCACCCTGCACCAGGGTATAGGCCATGGACAAACACTTTCCACCTTTCTCTATCCTGGGCTAGCCTCTTGATGTTATTCCATGTCTTCCCACTTTTCTGTACATCAATTTCTGTGACTCTTCTCCAGGTTCCACGCGATCTTCCCCTTGATCTCTTACCCTGTGGACTCCTATCCAAAACTTTCTTTGTTATGCAGCTGCCTGACTTCCTGAGAGTATGTCCAATCCATCTCCGCCGCCTTCTTCCTACCCTATCTCTGACTGGGATCTGTTTTGTTTTCCTAAAGACTTCCTCGTTGGTAACCCTGTCTGTCCATCTGATCCTCAGTAACTTTCTTTGTTGATGTCAGTTGTTGTGCTGTGCTGAAAAGGTCTTGGTGGGTGGTGGGTGGTTGGCGGGTGCTCTGGTGTGTGGTTTGCTTCTTCTTTCCTATCAAACATCTATCGTCCTTTAAATTTCTCCTCCTTCTTTTTTATGTTTGTTACTCTCTTGTAACACCTCTAATCTTCGGCACTTTATGACCTTATTGTGTTGCAAGTGCCGTAAAACTCTTACTAAAACTAAAATTCTAATCTTCGGCACTTACTTATATTATATGACCTTATTGTGTTGCAAGTGCCGTAAAACTCTGACTAAAACTAAACAGGTTGGGGAAGTGTTTCATACACCCTGTCACGTAAACAGTCACAGTAGACCTGAGTGATTTATCTAGTGTGCATGACTGACTGACTGACTGATGTCGGTTTGTGTCATGTGTGCTGATTTGAAAAGGTCTTGTGTCCTCTAGCACATATATGTGTGCTACGTCATCACCACGCACGGTAAAAGTAGTATCCATGACAACGACACGGTGTTTGTTATCCTGTTATTTTGATTCACTTAGTCCGTGTTCTGTGTTTGTTTGTGTCCGTGGATGGAATCATGAAGGATATTGATGAAAGGTTTGCACTCGTTGCATTAGTGGGTTGTTGGCGGGTGCTCTGGTGTTGTCTACTGCTCCTTCTTTCTTATCAAATATCTATCGTCCTTACCTCTCCTCCTTCTTTTTTGTGGTTACTCTCTTGTAACACCTCTAATCTTTGGCACTTATATTAAATTATATATGACTTCTTTCCTATCAAACATCTATCGTCCTTATCTCGCCTCCTTCTTTTTGTGTTTGTTACTCTCTTGCAACACCTCTAATCTTCGGCACCGATTATTATATAATATACCTTATTGTGTTGCAAGTGCCGTAAAACCCTTACTAAAACTAAACTGAAATAGGATTGGGTGGTAAGGTGGTTTGGGGGGATGTGCTGTACTGAAAACTTCCTTTTTATTGAGGAACAACAGACAGAATCTGTCGCCCTTTTGTACTATTGTACTTTTTTCTTGAGTCGTTTTGCTGTGAGGTAATTTATAAATAAAGTCAGGCTTGGTTTGCTGGAAAGTATTGGGATTCAGATGTGTGGGAGCTTCAACGTCAGCAGACTTGCCCAAATTTCTCGCTTGGTCTCGTGACTTTGGTTGGTTGTGGCCATAGATGTATGGTTGTGGCCATAGATGTATGGTTGTGGCCATAGATGTATGGTTGTGGCCATAGATGTATGGTTGTGGCCATAGATGTATGGTTGTGGCCATAGATGTATGGTTGTGGCCATAGATGTATGGTTGTGGCATTGAATTTGAAATTGGCCGCCAAAAGTAAACAATGGGTCCGGGCCTACTGCCTGATAGAGCGAGACGAGCTCTGGTAGCGATGTGGCGCAAGGGTAACTAGATAAAGTCACACCTCTACACGTGACAGTGGTGAAGGAGAACAAGATAGAGAGAAGGATATGCGTGAGAGTGTCAAACAGTATACTCTAAAGGGGTTAAAGCGAGAAGCACACATTATAGTGTGTAGTCCTCGGGTTCGAGCCATGTGGCAAACTGTATTTTAAACAAACCCTCGGTTAGCGCGTGATGGCAAACAGTCTAGACTCTAGAGAGGGATTAGCCCGGGGTGTGTGTCGCGGATAACGGAGAACGCCTTGTGTTGTAAAACGTCCGAGCTAGGGAGCGCTGATAATTTTATATATACATGATGTAATATGTTACATCTACCGAGTTCGTAGTGTCTCCTTGACACTCAACGTAAGAGATGTCCTACGTACGTTATATAATGGCCTGCGTGTGTGTATGTGTTCTGACAGACGCGAGCGCGTCGCAGGTCCTAAAACCAGTATTTTTCCTGCGCGTACGTAAGGCCTGTACCTCTATACGCCCTCCTCTCTGATCGCTTAGGTGGGTGGTTGGCAGGTGCTGTGGTGTGGTTTGCTTCTTCTTTCCCATCACACATTTATCGTCCTTATCTCTGCTCCTTCTTTTTTGTGTTTGTTACTCTCTTGTAACACCTCTAATCTTCGGCACTTATATTATGACCTTATTGTGTTGCAAGCGCCACAAAGCACTTACTAAAACTAAAACAAGATCGCCTCGGCCTGTCCTGTGAACATTCCTGTACCCGGGTCCGTGATCGGGGGGCAAAGTCTCCTGTCTGTGGGCTGGAACTGCTCCAAGAGGTCACCGCGCTCCACCCAGGGACAGCCGCCTCTATTGCGGCCACCCACCACACAATAACTGTTGTTGTGGCCTGCTCCGTTTGTCTCCGGCGGCCAGAAGGGGCTACCAGCATCTTACTTCGCCTGTCGTAGTTTTGGCTCGGTTCTCCTGCCCCCCCCCCTCCTCACATCCTCTTTCCTGAGAAATCGAACGTTTGCCGGGAGCAGCGACATAAGCCAAGCATGCTTGTAAGTTTTAGTAAGATTTTACGCGCTCGCAACTACATACGGTCATATTATGAGTGCCAAAGGGTGAATGTCAACAGAAAGGTCCAAACAGGGAGTCAGACTTACTCTGCTCACCTCTCTAGCCTCAACAGCACAAAGTCTACTGCGACTATCAAGGCAGCCCGGAAATAACGGGTCACAAGAGAGTGACACACATACTAAAGAAGTAGAGGAACATGACGACAGTAAGGATGAGGAAAGAAAAAGCCGCATT